CCTAATGCGGACACAGTTGATGCCAATTTGTTGAATATTTTTGCTTAAAATTGCTGACAATTTGCTGGCAAATTGCGAACAAATTGTTTACTGGGTACATATTCACAAGTAAAGTTTTACGAGTGAGTTTTTTGAATTGAGATTTCAATTCTTAAAATCATATAGGATGCTTGGATTGCATCACATATATGAAGGAACCCGAATATCCCCCAAACTAATTTTAAAATAGCTCCAAGTGCCTCGGTAGCCTAACAAGGAAGGCAACGACCCGGAAAGCCGAAGATTCCAGGTTCGACTCTTGGCTGAGGAGTTTTTTTCGAAAAAGTAAGAGAGACAAAGAATGGGATTAATCTATTAAAAATTATTCTCATATTTTAATACTTACAGTTTTGTGCACATTTTATCAGATACGATAATGGCAGGCTTTGCCATTAATAACGCTGGTATTACTAAGAAATCTTTGCTCAGTGATAAAAAAAAAAAAAAAAAAACAGCTTGAGAAGTAACGCGACGAATAGAGAATTTTATCGTCGTCTTTTTAACATACAATATAATTTTATTTAACTACTGAATAAGTATTTGTCAAAAATATTACAAGCACTTATCTAAGAAATCTAGTTAAAAAAAAAAAAAAAAACAATTAATTGAATCTTTTACACACTCAGACGCAAAATTAGCGATCTGTGTTTGACGTGTTCTCGGTCTCTGCTTGTGCACACGAAGCCGTTCGTATGATGCGTGAAACAACGGCGGACAATGCCGTTGTGATTCACGTAAATAGTGTGACAGCATTGTGCAACTATACTAAAAGTTTTATTGCCTTGGGGTGGCCATACGGCTGTGCCATCGACAAGCGAGTGATAGCTGTGATAGCTGTGCTATTCTCGTACTTGTTCATACACGCAAACACACATGTGTATGCGTCCCATCTAAAGCAATTAAATACAATACCTATTTGTATAATTGTGTGGCAGTAAAATTGTATGGATCCTAAAGAGAAATTGTAATTAATTGTGATCGTTTGCGATTGGAGAAGCAGAGGTTTTTATTTTAAATCTTGTACTTTTATAACATATATGTATAATCGAAGTAAGTAACTTACTCCATGTTTGATCGGTCACCGCCAAAACATGATTGTTTAAACTTTTCAACTTCTCGCCGTCGGAGTATTTCGGTCTTCAGTCGTTTTTAAATACTCGAACTTCGCGGTAAACTACGAACGAAATATTAAGATAGTATAGTTTTGTCATTCGTTGCCTCTATTTTTTTTAACTGCCGTCGAATTCAAGCAGCGTTACTTGTTATTGTTGTTTGCTTTTTGTTCGAATTGCGTACACAAGATATAAGTAAAAGTATCGCGTAGAATGTGTAGAAAACTATAATATCGTATTCTATGTCTCGATTACAGAAATTATTGTATACACGGTTTTGAACACGGAAAACGAACTTTCTCTCGGTAGCTCGTTGTAATTTACGCAATGATTTCGTCAAATATTAAGGAGAATTGTGATCGATACACAAAACGTGCACACTAATTGAGAAACAAAGTTTTCGAGAATTGATGTGAAATCACTTATTTTGCGTTTTCCGAGAAACTTACACTTAAATATATCAGAAGCTCCAACAATGATATCTCACGTTTTGTATCGCGACCGCGACAGACGGAATTAGCACTAACAAGGGGAGACTACGACGATGGAACAATCGATTTGGACGAAACTTATAGTATCGATAGATGATTGTGTGGAGTATTGCAGGGTAAAGTAAGAAGACACACTACTCAAGCATACGCAAGAAAATCGAATTTGAAAATTTTGATGTACCTTATGAGGATATTAAATAGGATGTTTAATCGAATATCGTGTAGCGTAGCGGTAGCGTACTGTTAGTAGTGTCGACGCTGCTAGTTCGAGTCTTGATATAGTTTTTTTTTTTTTTTTTTTTTTTTCAAATGTTACAATATAATCTAAATGTAAGTATTACGTGTTTTATTTATTTATTGCATGTTATAAAAGTGCATTTTTTGCATTAAAAAATCCGTGATGTAAAAAATACGGCAAAAATAGTATCAGGTTGGTCTTCAAACCCTGATGAAGTGAGCTGTAATGTTCACTAAACATCGGTATAAAAATGACACTAACGCGGTTCAAACCCGAAAAAACATCTTTGCATGTTAATACGGTAAAAATAATTATATTGTTACTAATTTGNGTTCTGTTTGTAAAAAACGCATAAATAATTGTACGCAACATGNAAAAATATATGCAACATGTTTTAAAGCACACACAGTTTTGTGTAATATTTGTTGAACGTTATACCTTTGAAAGAAAATATTATATCCTTGTAAAAGTAGAAAACAGACAATGAGTAACCACGAGAAAATTTCCGTTACATTGTGAGAAACAAGATTTCATCCATTTGACTGGTAACAGCGAGAGTAGACAGAAAAGAAGAAAAGTGTGCAGTGCTAGTTAAATTGGAAGATACATTAAAATGAAAGGTGTACCTGGTTCTTCATCAAATGAATGTGATAGTACATGAATTCACAGTGACGAGTCAAAATTACTGCTAAAAGATGCTATTGTTTATCTGGAACAATTACTTTTCGAAAATGATCTTCCATAAGTGCGCGCAGCGACGTTTTTTTACAAATAAATTCGTTACTTTATTCTTTCTTTCTGTCGATATTTGTCTACATAACGTTACGTAGATCAAACAACCAGCCTAAGATAGAATACAATACTATCGCGGACTCAACTGAAGTTCAAACCTTCAACCTATCATATGTGTCGCACTAGAGGAACTAATATATTTTCTTGCAATATGTACAAAAAATAAAGCATATAGATATTTGTAAAAAGGATATAGGAATTTGTAAATAACGAGTGAAGTAGCGAAGTGATGCAAACAGGCGTGAAAAACTCATTTTTATTTCCTGTATCTTTTTATACAATTAAAATATTTTTGTAGAAAGCGTAATTTGACAGGTAAGGTATAGAGAAGTACGTTTCTTAAACTAAGATAGAAATGTTTTTTCTAAATAACAGTGTAAACATATATATCCACTCTAATAAGCAAATTGTAAAAATAGTGCACAAAATTTTACATACTTATGAAAATGCATAACGACTTTTTTGCAATTTTTGACAAATATTATTTATAAAATTCAATTGTGTTGATTTGATTTCGACAAAACTGTTGCGTTATGGCAAATCATCTTAATGCAATAGTTAACTCTAGCTGTACAACTGAATATAAATATACTGTACAAAATGTATTTCTTGAATATCTTGTTCGTAAACTTTAAAATAATTACTGATTTCTAAGTAAAAAAAGACATAATTCTTGATTTACAATATATCGTATTTTACAAGAAAAGTAAGTAGAAAATATACAATAGCATAATCACAAACAATATCTTGGTTATTTCATAGAGCCAGTCCATCCTGCAACATCAATAATGGTAATGCACATCTTATTACGTTTATATCACATAGAATATGTAACGTTTTATCATTAGTAGCATCCCGAGTCGAAATTTAGCGTCTACATTGAACCTCAATGTTTGAAAAAAGAAAATTTCGGACGTATAGCAGCGTCAAAGTAGCATCTACTTTCTCTCTTACTCCTACATAAAAAAAAAGGAATTGAGGTTCAATGTAGACGCTAACTTTCGACTCGCGATACACTATCGGAAATAAAATTGTTTCTTCTTGTAAGACCCTACAATAAACAAGCTTCTAAAAGCTGGCGGTACACCTCATGAGAATTATTGAATGCCATAGCGTTTCCACAGTATGACCTAAGTTTTTTATAACAACGTCACAAGCGAGCAACTAAAGCACATACCTTCGCGAAAGTATGTAAAACGTTCCTGTCAGAGAATGCTAGATACAACTTTTTATTTAAATGTTCTACAAAAAATTATTGTTTCTCAATGCAATACACACAGAGAGTTAAACAAACCTTCACTTGAAAACAAGAGTAGAGCTTTTTTTTTACTAAATCTTACCTTTTACGATGACGTCTCGCTTGATCCAAGCGACTCATGTTTTCATTAAGCAAGTAGAGTTTACAGTCAATAATGCCATTTCTGAAATAAAAATTAACAATTATTATTATTCAAAGAAAATACTTCTTATATTTCTTAAATAAAAAATATTTTTAAAGTCAAAATAACTTTTTTTTGCTAAGATTGCATAAGTACATATTCGCATACGTGAGGTCTACTATGTACGCACCTAAAATATTCTTCGATATTAAGATCCAACAAGTCTGTGTATCCAAATATTATTTTGTCATCAGCATTTATTTCCTCGAACAATCTTCTAAATTTTGAGTTTTTGAAATGCCATGAGTTTGTTAAAAAAAAACACAACGCGCAAAATGATACGAATATTTTTCTTTGCAGGTTTACTAACCTAAATAAATGAAAGTTTCTACATTACCATTTATGACAATAATTATAACAATAATTTCGAATATGGCATGTAAGTACATTTCTAACTAACACTTACATCGGACGTACATGGACTATTCTCAGAATAGTATCTATTAGAACTGACGGCAAAATATGTAGTATCAATACNAGTATGTAATATAAAGAATAATTGTTTATCACAATCGTATTCGGTTTCCAAATAATTCTCTCTAAAGGAATATCATAAGCAAAACGAATACCTACGCGTAATAATTTGCGTAAACTCAAGTTCACTATGTCTTTGGTACAGCAGTTGTAAATATGAATGCTCGTATCCTCAGTGATGCTGATTCGTAAAGAATATTATGAGTTTTAATTTTCGATAGTGACAGAATAAGTTCCATACTCAAAAGTAGTTTTATCACATACATACTTTCTCATTCCCCGTCTCCAACCAGTGATTACGGTTGCTTTTGTTACAATATCGATTGATACCCAATCTGGTACTACAGAAGAGTCTATATAAGCTACGCGCAAAAGACCGGTCCCACCACCGATTAGTAAGCCCATTGGGCCATTAAAATTATCTAGCCAGCCTGGTATTGGATCGCTAATTGAAGGTACTACAATTGAAGGTCTAATAATAACGCAAGGCAACGATTCAGAAAAATCGTTTATAACATTTTCTGCTAGTCGCTTTGTAAAGACGTACGTATTGGGCATGGGATGTATATATCTGCAACAATTAATTAACAAGAACATATTTTACCAATGACAATATATACACGACACAACGCACGTATCTCGTGTGCATACGCGAATGTAATATAGCACTTACTTCGCGGTAAAAATTTTTAAAATTTCGTTGTCAATTTTCTCAGCAGTATGGATCGTTTTTTTCCAGTCTACGTCTTCCAAAGGATAAAAAATCTCGTCTACGACGGGGTTATCACACTGTGAGAAGGCCGAGCTTACGTAAACTAGAGCCTATTTTGATTATGTAATTTAAATATAACGGTTAGAATTAGAATGGTGTCAAACACACAAAGTTATTGAGAAAAATGTACTTGCGAAACAATATAAATCGATAAAAAAAACTTACCACTATATTTTTCATAGTTTGGGCCAAAATACAAATGTCACGCGTCGACCGTAAGTTTGTAAAAATCGCATCTTTCAGACTNTNGTCNAAGCGGACAGAAGCCGCTACGTGGAATATTATCGACACTTTTTCACTTAANATTTTCCTGTCCTCTGGCAATAATCCTAAATCCTCCCTACTCACGTTTCCGCTTATTGGAATAATCTTCTCAAAACTGTTTGGCCGTTCGCGCCGTAATAAATCAAAAAGCTTGTTTTGTAACATTTTCTTTAACCTGTCGTTGATGGTTTGTCCTTTTTTTGGTCGAATCAGTAAAAATATTTCCTTAATATTTGGACAACTTCTCAGTAATTTTTCACATAGCGCTTTTCCCAGGAAACCTGTGCCACCAGTGATGAACACACTTCGATGAGAGTAAAAGGTGGGTATAGATGTATTAGCGTATTCACTCATCCTGACTAAAATATTTCAAACGTTTATAAAGTAGTATGTGATAGATACTGAGAAGTTTCAAATAGGTAGATAGTCAGCAACTCACAAATGTTGATGTGATCAAACCTAAGCACGTTCTTTTCTGTCAAAGTTTTTGTACGTAAATGAGTCTAACTGAATAGTTGGCTTATTTATAGGAAATGATGAGGTCGTTTTGAGGAAATGATGAAGACTTTTTTTCATGATATGCAATATTCTAAAAGTTCGAACAGCAGTCTAGTTTACATTTCCATATTGTGTTTAATATTGATTTATGTGCATGTGTGTGTGAGTGTGTGATTTAAACTTATAATATATTCAATATTCAGAATTTTGATGTATAATAGCGTGATACCGGTAAACGCGCAGAAACATAGTTTCTTGAAAATCGCGCACGAATAAACGATTACACAAAACGTTTTCCTACAATCGGGTTCAACTACAAGTAAAAAACTTTGAGAGATAAGCAAGTTGCAATTTCGTTGTGCCATCAAAATTATAGAACAATTATCTAAAATCGAAAAAGAAAGATTTTCTTTTAAAGAACAGAATACCATATACACTTAAATACATAAGTCTTTCGTATATTTGTCTGCTTACATTTCCACGTTTAGAAGTTTGTCATTGATGCCGTTCACACAATCAACCATTGCTATTGAGAAATATTATCACGGTCACGCAATAAAAAAAGTATTAAAAAAGATTTCTCTAGATGAGAAATTAATACCTACGTGAATAGAATATTTATTCATGTAAATGTTTTATGTTGAAAATACAGTAGTTGAAGTGATAATAATCGATAGTTGTTTCTTTTCATTCTAATGTGTTAGAACTGTAATAGTATTTAGAGATGCTTTTCTGACATTTGTATAAACAACAAGTATAACATTGATTTAAAAATATTTCGTAATATAGATATACAAATATGTTAAGTTATACTCGTATGTGTTTAACTAAAAAAGTACAAATTAGTGAAACGTTCTGTTCAGTATACACTTGATGTATCGTGTCATTCACGTATTGTTTTAACCGTCAAAACCTATTTTGAAGTTTTATACTTACAAATTTACGTGATTCTTACAATTTGTCTAGTATTACAAACTAATTTAAACATTCACTTTTATCAAATAAAATTCACTTATCTCAAAAAATAAAAAACACTCAATTCCTTGATTTATAATCTAATTTACCTATTGTGCAATCATAAACGTGAATACAAGATGTAGGATAGCATAATCACAAACAACAATTTGATACTTTCATGAAGCCAGTCCATTCTGAAACATCAATAATGGCAATCCGTTAAGTAATTTTATCGTTTTTGTCTCTTATAATATATAACGTCTTATCAAATATCACGCAGTTTTCGCAACAAACTCGTTTGGCATTGGTTTCTGTAAAACAAATATTAACATGCTTTTGACAATACAGCTTATGAAAATGACTAAATGTCAGCATTTCCGTTATGACCTGATGCTACGATCGTCACAAAGACCGATCAAAGTGCGCACGTAACTTTGCAATATCATGCACCAAAAAAATTATATTCTTGTAAGTAGAAGATTTTATACTTAAAAAATCTACTTAAAGATTTTAGATGATATTCTTCTGAAATTAAGAATATATTCTTTATTTAAGA